GTCATCTCTTCTCTAACTCTAAAGTTAATAATCATATCCATGCTGTCCTGATTCAGAGAAGCAGAATAGGACTACCACCAATTTGTAAATAGGGTTCGAGCTCCTCATCAGGCATGTCTTACTGGTTCAGCAAACAATTAGATGTGAATTGAGGGGAAGCATCCCTAATTACCTTACCAGGAAACACCAATACTTTTGTTAACAGTTTAATTTTGTGGAAAGTCTGAAGTAAGGAGGAACAGATCAGATCCGTGCCTCATGCTTTGCTTCATGTTAGTGTGCTGGCTTATTTAACCAGCCAAAAAACAACAACAAGGTTTTGTCAATACAACAAAACAACCTGACCCCTGACTCAAAAGCCCAGCTGTGTGCTGTCACAGCCCCTGGGGCACAGCAGCCTATCCCAGATCAGGTGACACAGTCAGACCATAGGAAATCAGCCCTCCTTCCTCTGTTATTCTGGAGAGGACTTGCATCTGTCTATGACTGCACATATGTTACTAGACTACAGATACACCAGCTTAAATATACCTCTGAAAGAAGAGCTTTGCATTTTTCAGGAAGCAAAAGGTAAGAATGTAAGGGGAAAAAAAGCCTCAACAGTGCTTTCTCCCAGTTTATCTAGCAATCACTTGCAAAAAGACAATGAAAACTCAGAGTGTCCATGATAAGGACAAGTGCTAAGAAACAAAATTAAGCCAAAAGGACAACATAGAGAATCAGAGCTCCAGTTGGTAGCTCCTGAATATGGATGTCTCTTGCCACACAGTGTTCACATCTTAACCAAGCAATGAACCATATTCAAATTAACACGTATTTTCCTGTGGCTTTCCAATCTTCACAATGCCATAGCTGCCACACAAACGTCATGCAAGTGCTGAAAGAGGGACTGTGCTCATATGCAGGAAATGCAACAATCAGGTGGCGCCAGAGAGATGATCCACACTACAAAACCTGGAAATTATTTTAGGGAGGGGGATCTAATTAAAGCTGTAACTACATTACTCTATAGTAATGAGTTCAGGCATTCAATTTTAAGACTTAAAGAGACTGCAGAACAATGGGGTCTGTGAATGTCCTAAAGCCATGATTTAGCTCTGCAGAATGAAGTGCAGACAAGTAGGACTGGTGGAAAAAGCTGTGTATGGAAAGAAGTATATGGAAATAAAGAGGTTCTCTTTTAAAATATAGCACCCAGAACCTCATATTTCACATGATAGCTGAAGAAAAGGTATGGTGAGATGGTCAGTAAGTTCAACCAAGAGTGTACATACACCTATAGCACTTATACTAGAAACATTTGCAACATTTGATGAAATGGTTCAATCAAAATGTTGGAAGTAGATTTCTCTGCAGGAGAAAGGAGAGTATATAGATTAGTAGCTCTGCTCATGGCTTTCTATACAGAAATGAAACAGTAACTTCTGCAGGAGAAACAAAATAAGCTGCTTCCCCAAAGCTGCAATAGGATTAGTATGGTACTGTTAAACACCTTCTTTAGAAGAAAAAAAAAAAAAACCAGTACTTCAAAATGGACCTTGAGAAGCTTCAAGTATCTGCTTCGCTTTTATCTAGCAGCCCAACCAAAATGAAAGAGAGATGAGGTAAAAATTAAATATGTATAGCTGAAGTTTCTACAAACAAATCACAAATTCTGAAATGATTATATCCAGGTTTAGCTCTGCACTCATAGGACATGCATTGCCTTATGATTATCTTAACCTAAGGCTCAGTCAGCTGATCTCAGGAACGCATCCTAAATACTGCATGGGACTGAGTCAACATCTGCCTCTGGGGGACAGCGTTTCGCATGAAGCCATGATCCAGCCAGCCACCTCCCATGCCCTTAATTTCACCTGTGTGAAGCATTACTGTGGTTCCCCGAACACTGGGCTTTACACAGCACCACTGTGGTCAGTTCACTTCATTCTCAAGTTAATCAAAGCCGTGGGTCAGCATCATCATCCCCGGAGATGTTCAGGAACCATGGAGATGTGGCACTGAGGGACATGATCACTGGGTATGTGGGGTTCTTGAGCTGGACTTGGTGATCTTAGTGGTCTTTTTCAACCTTATTGATCCTATGATTCTAAAAGAAAGAGAGAAGCCCTCTGGCCTTTGCACAGCTCTGAGGTCACTCTTTGCTGTATCAGAGCCTTTGCGACACTGCAGCCCAGAACCTGCTTCACTACTGTTATCACATGAGATGTTAAACTCAAGTTTGACCACCTGGAGAAACAGAGGCATGGGACTGTAAAACCCAAAGATCCTACAGCTGTGAGCCCTCACCCGGTCCTGTGCTGAATTTGAGCCATTCACCCCTACTCACAGTGATTAAGCTCCCCCAGATTAAGCTCCCCAGGCAGTTTATCACCAACAAGAGCACTCAGTGCTATGACTCAGCCGTGCCTGCTGCCAGACGAACCCCCCGCTGGCTTCTGCTTATGCAGCTACGAAACCTCATTAAAAATTCTGCATAATCATGCAATTACGAGTCTCCCTCTCGCTGGGCTTGCATCAGCAATACGGTTGATACCCTGCTACGTGCGTTCCAGCAGAACGATACGGCGCTCCCATTAACCAGCACAATAACCTTAAATTGAGCTACTTATCACAAGAAACACCGCGAACTCAGCCGGAAGGAGCTCACACCCACTCCCCTCAGCAACTCTCGCTAGGAGCGCAGCCGCCCACCCGCCGGCACGCACTCCCCGACACCGGGCCCGCAGTGCGCCCGGCCTCAGGCCCTCTCCCCGCCGCAGCCTCCATCAGGACGGAGGCTGCTCCCACAGCCCCCCGCAGGCCGCCGGCCGGCCCCGCCGCGCCGCTCACCATGGTACAGATGGAGGCGAGTCTCCGGACCGTCATCAGTACGTCCATCCGCCCGCCGCGGCCCCGCGCCCCGCCGCCGGCCCGAGCGCCACCGCCGCCATGTTGGGACGCAGCCGCCCGACTGACAGCGCCAGCCGGGCCGGGGTGGCGCAGCTGCCAAATGGGGCCGGGCGCCGCCGGTGCGCTGCTCAAAGGGGGCCGGGCTGCGCCGCGCACTGCGGCTCCTCTCGTTCCGGCGCACCGCGGGGGGCGGGCGCGCTGCAGGCATCGCAGGCCGAGCGGGGCGTGCTGCGCCCGCAGGGGCGGGGCTGTGAAGGGTCTGGTTCACGCTGGATATTAGGAAACATTTCTTCTACGACACAGTGGTGAGGTGCTGGCGCCCAGGGAGGTGATGGAGTCACTGTGCCTGGAGACGTGCGAGAATCGTGGAGATGAGACATTTAGGGATGTGGTTAGTGGGTAATAGCAGCGGTAGGCAGACAACTGAACCGGATGATCTTGGAGTTCTTTGCCAACCTTAATGTTCCTGTGATTCGAAGTGTGGCTTTTACAGAGCTGTCCAGTGTGATGAAGGAGTCGGGCATTGTTTCTGCTCTCACCACGTGCCCTCCTCGCAGCACAAACACAGAAAGGAGCCTTTCAGAGCACAGCACTGTGATAACAGCATCTATTGTTCACCCAGCGGGAAAGGAGTGAAGAATGCTGCCCAGCTGCCATGTAACGCTTCACACACTGCGTACCAAAAGCAAACACATATCAGAAAAAGCATCCCACAGATGGGTGGAAGTGCTTGTTGTCCCAGTGACACACAGAATTCTCAGTGTTGAACCTGGAAGAAACCTGACTAATATTTTGGGTTCCCTATAAATGAAGTGCTGTTGAACAGTTGCTGGTGGTGAGCAGGGAAGCCCTCAGCTGTGTTGCACAAGAAGCACCCCGTGAGCAGGACTGTTTCCACATGCTGCCCCTCACTTCAGCCCTGACCTTGTGGGAAGACCTTTGTGGAAGGGATACTTCAGTTTCCAAAGCACACTTTTTTTATGAGGCCAAGATGTTTCCATTCTATTTGAGTTGCTTGCCTGCAGCTATGTTCTCTCATACACACTGTGCTTCCCACGTCATCTGCTACAGGATCCCAAGAGAGAGTATTCCACAACCTAAAAAAAATCCTTAAAAATACACCAAAAGTGAAAAACGACACATGTCACTTACAGGGTTTCCATGAACGCATTGCAACAAAATTGGAGACAGGAAGTACAGAAATAGTGGAATCTGTATAGTGTTTAACCAAATTTAACTTTATGTTTAAATGATCCTCTCCCTGACATCCCAAAATAGAATCAACTGTGACTTATCGTGGATGTCACAACAGAATCTGAGGACACTTCCTTCCCCCTCTGGCCTCAGGATCAGAACAGCTTTGTGCTGGGTAAAAATATGGTGCTAAAATGGCAGTCTTGTTCCCAGATGACATCTTCCCAAGAGGCCCAATTTTTAATGTCTGCACAAGGTGCAGCCCCAAATGTAGAGAAAGGCTAGCACCTCATTCACATCACATTCAGGGCTGTTCCAATCTTACCTTCTACGGAGGTGCTTTGCAGCTGCCCTTCCAGCTAGCAGGAGCTGGGAAGGGTTACTGAGAGAAACAAGGTGGTAAAAAATGCTGCTTTTGTTTAGTGCCCAAGCACTGCAGGGTGAGAGCTGGCCTTTGGGCCTCCAGTTTACCACAAAGAACAAAGGCAATCAGACAAAGCTGTAAAGATCAATCCGTGCTTGTTTAGATGCTGAGGAGTGGGGGGTGCATGCACAAGCCACTGGCAGTGAGATTTATCCCAGCATCTGCAGAAATGGCTTTTCCCCAGCACCACACTTTGCATTTCTGCTCAGAAATGAGCCTGTTTCTCCAGCAGTGTTGCCATAACGTCAAAATACTGTACAAAAACAACAGAGAGACACTGGGGTGAATGTAACCGCTGCAAACAGACTTTTAGAGGAAAGATGACTTTTGCTAGTGCTAGGCAGAACAGGAATGAGTCTTTTTCTCAATGTGTGGTGGCCTTAGCAAGACCATTCTAGCTCTGCTCATCTGTTTCTCCCTTTGTAAAATGTATGAGGAATAATTACATCCAGTTTTGAAAGGGATTTGATGTCCTTGTATGAAAAGCACTATGGTAAATGAAAAATATTTTTATTTTTAGAATACTTCATCTCTGAAAATACGTACAAGTGCCAATAACATTAAAAACAGAAAATCTTATGAAAATGACAGCCAAAAGCAACAGAGACCAATCAATAAATCTTTACAATTTTGGTGTGGAAACAACATAATCTCTGTGCAACACGCAAAGGCACATATCTTTGCATGGAGCAACCCAGCCAGTGGTTAGTGAAACCTTCAGAATCATCCGAATGTTTTCAAAGTTGCTCTGAGTTTTGCAAACATTCTCCCTTTAATTTAAGCTATTGTTTTTCCAAGAGAATTTGAATTAAAAACATGCGCTTTTTTAGCTAAATATAAGTCCATTGTACACAAACAATTAAAATCTCTTTTAAAAACAATTCTTATTCTACATGCCAAGGGTTATACAATCTCAAATAGTGTGAATCCTCTGCATGGTTTCACTCAGTGAAAAGACTGTTCTGAAAATCCAGAAAATCAGATAAAGATCAGATGCAAAACCTCTGGCTTTTATTATATATCTTCCTTGGTTTGTTCTTCAGGATCAGAGCCTAAATGTTACCTTTGTTGCTGTTGTTTAAAAAAGGAGCTTGGTAATATATTTACAAGTTTTTGGAGAATATGTTGCTTTTTTATTACAATTTTTTAAAAAATCCAAACAACCATTACATCTGGACAGAGATTCCTGCACATCCTGCACACAGTGGCAGCAGGCTTTGGTTAGAAGCATAAGAAGCCTGGGCTAGTGTATGAGAAATGAGATTGAACTGTATGAGCAAAGGAACTAGAAATCAATTGGTCTGCTTCCAAGATGCACTCTAAAACTGCTTCCACATTTGTTGTAGGCAACCAGAAGCCATCACAGCTGCCAAAAGAAGCAGTTAAACATTTCCCCCACCGCTGGGCTTTCTTTCATTCCTGCCCCCACACAGTTCCTCTCAGGTGTCAGCAGCAGCACGTGCACTCAGCTTTTCCAGCAGCTGCTCCATGCCCATCGCCACTTCAGCTGCCCAGCTCTGCCCCTTCTCACACCCCACTGTGTTGGTGAGAAGCAGAGAGCTGCAAGGTGGAGCTGAGGATGATTGGAGCTTTTCTGTAAGCAGCAAAGAGCTGCCCCGTGTCTTGTTCTTCATTCCCCGTGAAGGTTTTGTTGGCATTTTTTTCTGCTGCTCTTGCACACTGAGCTGTTGCTCTTAGAGAACTGCTGGAGATGACTCCAGGGTCTCCTTCCTAATTTATGAGTGCTGCATCCAAGTTCAGCATCATTTAAGCATAGTTTGTGTTATTCTTCTCTAGATGCATTCCTTTACATTTATCTAGACTAAAGCTCCCCTGCCAGCTTTCTGTGCACTGCTTCTTGAGAACCTTCTGGAGTTGCTCAGCACTGACACAACATTTGGTTACCCCAAAGGACATTTACTTTTGTTTCTCTCAACAGTATCTCCTCTTCTGGAGAAATTCATCAGATCCGTATTGTTCTAAGAATGCTTTCGCTAGTATAGAATGTTCTACATGGTACTCCTCAGCTTATTTGGCCTTTTTCCCTGCACTGAAGCTCTTCTGGTCACCTAGACACTGATAGATTACTGCCACTTGTTTTTATAGGAGAGCTGTAGTGATGAATACTTTTATATTACTCACTAGCATATGCTTTTAATAGGAAATGGTAACAAGGGTTCCAACATCGTACTTAGAGAGTTGCTAGTTAATCCCCAAATTTATGATGTGTCCAGCTCAATTACACAGTTCAAAGCACCCTGCTTATTGACCACAAGACTTTGAATATTTTTCTCTCACTTTGCCTGTTCTACAAAACTTCCACAAGATTAAGGCACCCATCTGAAATTTCCTGGAGAACATTTTTCAGTGTTTGGGTTTTCCAAAAATTTGGAAGTTCATTTACTCCATTCACATAGGAGTCATGCCCAGAAGACTCGTGATCTGGTGGCTCAGCACCATGAGCTGCAGAGCCTTCCAGGCCTTTTGTCCCACCCCTCCTCAGCTGACTATCATGATGGTCAAAGTAATAACCCTGCATGCTTACACAACTCAGCAAAAATATTGCTTCAGAAGTTTTTAGAGGGGAAACTGTGCCCTGGAAAAGTGACACATTCATGAATCTTCCTCATCCTGTGCTTATTTTGCTGGATTGCTGTGCACCAAAGCTGGATTTTTCTAAAGCTCTGCACCCAGTTCACATGTGACATGCTTAGCTCCTCTGTGGGGCTGGCATGGAAATGGAGATCATTTGAAAAGCTGGCACCCAGTGCTTTGAGAAGGGGTGGCAAACTAGAAAGCTGGCCTACTTCCCCTTCCTACTGCTCATAGCCATGTCCTGGCTTCTGAAACCTGCTGGGAGAGCTCTGTGTACACTGTGATTGAAAGCAGCTGCACGAAAGCGTCTGGGCACAGAAAGTTCTTTTGGTGGCCACAGCCTCTCCATAAGGAACCATGCCTACCCTCTGCCCGGCAGGAGCATACAGAGGGCAGGAGAAATCCGCACGCCCGGCTCTCCGGGGCCTGTGGGTGGATTAGCTGCGGTGCCATTTTCCGTCAGGATCTGTTTCCCACACAGCGTGACGGAGCGCACGTCTCAGCAGTGCGCTGCAGGCACCAGGCTCGCCTCTTCCCATTGCTGCCTGAAGCCCTTTGCAGACCTCTTTTGACCAGTTTTGCAGAGATGAATGCTCAGACTATCTTTTCTGTCGTTTAATTTACATCTGTTTTATATTATTTGCAGTTTTTTCTTTATCTGGCTCATTCCCTCCCAATCACTCTTTGCTTTCTCTTCCCTCCCCATTATCCTTGATAACTGAGAGTTGATTGTAGTTCGTGTACGGTTACATGCTGTCATCCCTACAGACCTTCCAGCCGCCAGCTGTCTCAACACTACACTCCTATAGAAGTCATTCTTTCTTCACTCCCTCTGTCTGGCTCACTCCACTGAAGGATTCTGAGTTCTTCCTCAGCTTTCTCATAGCTGTTGTCAGCCCAAATTCACTTTTCCATGCTTAGAGACACAGTAATGCCCCAACATGGTGCTGATCCATATTCCAACCAACCATTGCAACTATTGCCACATAAAAAAACAGTAGATGAAATGTATCCCGGAGGGTACAAATGTGAGCTAGTACTTGTAAATAACCCAGGGCAGCCTGATCTGGTGGGGGTCAACCAGCCCACGGAGGGGGTTGGAACTTAATGATCTTTACGTTCTTGTCCAACCTGAGCCATTCTTTGATTTTATGAACCCACTGCTCTCTGAACTCTGCAGAGGAAAAAAGGGTTTATTTTCCTGAAGAGGAGCGTCCCATCAGCTCCAGCACTCTGAAGGGGCCCTACTGCAGGGCACAATAGGCCAGGGAGAACAACAGAGCGTAGAGTTGGAATCAATTGAAAATGCAGAGAAACTAGACAGGCAAAATGGGATTATTCAAAGTGGAACGAGAGCAGGGCGCTGGGGTGACTGTACCTCGCTGCAAACACGGCTGCGATGACTGAGAGCCAGAAGGACCTTGTTTTAGTGAGCAGCCAAGGGGAAGCACATCAAACAGGCAGCGGGGAGATAAAGCGGGGAGCGGGAGCGTGGTGGGTGGATGGAGGCACACGCTGGTGCCCGGCCGGAGGAATGTCATGGCTTCACTTGTGATTGGCTGCTGAGTGGTGGAGTCAGTTTTCACGGGGGTTGATCAAAAAGTTTCCTTTTGCTTTCCAAAGTCGCTGTCTGAGCAGAGGCATCGGAAGAGGAGGCCGGTTGCTCTAACATTCCTCGGGAAAGCGACTTAAATGCAATGAGAAGGCTTCTCTTCCCAGGGACACGCAGCCAAGAACAGACGCAGAGAAGCTGTTTTCCTTCTCTTCTCTCCCAACTCCTACTGGAGTTGATCAGCTCTCATTTCTGGCATGCGTCTCATCTCTCAGGATACCATGTCACAGTATTCTACTAACTTTCTCTTGCTTCCCATACCAGAGTATCCAGTACTAGACTGCGTGCCCAACAAAATCATCAAGCTGGTGGTGCTGGGTGGCAGCAGCGTTGGCAAGACAGGTAAGCCCGCGGGCATTGCTCACACCGTTTACTTGCAGCCGTGCTACCTGCAGCTCTGCAGCTCACAGCCACGGCTGTGAAAACTCTCGTAACCTTTGCAGCCAAAGCATTTTAAGTTGCTTTGTTGTTTGTTTTGTTTTTATTTTGTTGGCTTGTTCTGACTCATTTGTGAGGCAGGTTTGCTGCAGGGCTGTGACCAGGCAGCGTGAGGACAGGGCAAAGCGTGGGGAGCTCTGTACTCACAAATGAATCTCCGTGGCCCTGTGTGAATCATTTAACCGCATCTTCATGTCCACACCCCCAGAAATGGGGCTAGTGATTTCTGTTCTCCTGTTGTAAATGCTGACTGCTGTGTGGACAAATAATAGCATACAGGATGTGCCTGCCTGCGCTATTCTGCAAAGGAGAGGAGAGGAGGATAAAGCGAGTGTTATTGCTTTGGAAGACATGGTTCACGATCCGTTTTTAGTACATCTGGGGTTCCACGGTGTTCAGAAAAGTGTTCAGTTGTTTTAGATTTGAAGCAACTACATTTCTGTATTATTTTTAGGTACTTTGTTGAAGGGCACAGTCAATTCCATTTAAAGGTACCAAGGAGGTGACTCAGTACGTGCAGTGAAAAAAATATATATTATTTTAAATGAAATAAATCCATGAGACAATTGCTTGCAGGATAAAATGGAGTGGTTTTGAAAATGTTTAGGAATCTGCTGAGATGAAAGCAGTAGAGGAATATAAGTCACCGTGGCAGTAAAGGGGCTTTAAATGTTATCAGGAGATCACAAAAATGGAAAATGTTCTAATTCAATAGTGCATAAAAGCACCACGGGTTAAGACGAATAAGAAGTCCCAGAGCACTGGAGCACGACCTGTGCGTGTACAGCACATGCAGTTTGTTTGCTGGATGTAATTAGATATCACTAATGGGTTTCACCAGGAGGACCGAGGATTTTTAAGGCTGGGAAGAGCCATTTGATCCCTCAGCCACACTTCTGATATGGCACAGAGGCCTTAAAGTTGGCATCTAGATTCATTTCTGTACTGTAATGGTTTGGCATGTTACTCTTCTAAATTATTTTAAACCAAAGGTCAGATTGTCACATCTGCCATCACAACAAACAGTCCTCTGCAGCCCACACCACACAGCCTCACTGAACTTGAGGGGTGATTTACAATACAAATTGCTAAAAGCACTGCTTTAGCTATCACAGTTTGGCCCCAATCCTTTTTTGTGAGTGCAGAGAGAAGGATTTGCAGAATAATAAGTGAGCAATAGCAAGATTAAGTTGGTTTCATATTATACTAACTCTTCCAGTAAGATACTACATGTGTTCTGACTTTGGTTCCCATTAAAGGCCCATATTTTTTTCACTGTTTTACAGCTCTGGTTGTGCGCTTTCTCACTAAGAGATTTATTGGAGACTATGAAGCCAACGCTGGTGAGTCTGTTTTCTACTGCAGTGCTGCAGATAGCTTGAAAAGGAATCCACTCTCTTTTGTGACTGGTGCACATTACAGGAAAGCCGAGCAGTGTTAGATGTCCATGAGGTGCATATTTTCAGTTAATAGCCTCAAGCTATGAAAGCAATAAATCAAAGCCTCATTATTCACGTTCCTGTTAGCCATTTTTTTTCCCCAGCTTGATGGAATAGGATCAGAGTGAAAAGGCTTGCTTGGGGATATACCTATACTAAAGTGCAGGCTCCAGGAGCAACTTGTATATTGACCAAACCACAGAGAGCCAATGCTGCTCTCTGCAGCCCCTGGGAAGCCAGAGGAATTCCAAAGCACACAAAAGGCAATTCAGAACTTTTTTTCCCCCATGTATTCCTTTTCTTTTGGTGGCTCTTGTGGCAATGGAGAATTTCAATTTAAAGTCTTCTTTCTGTAAGATAAGCAAAGGGGCCATGCAAACCTCCTACTTCATTTCTTGTTTCATTCTGACACCTCAGGAGATGCGTTCATGTGAACTGTTTAATTCACAGCCTCTGTTCCAAGTAAGCACTGTTTCAGCCAGGACTGTAGAAAGGATCACTGTGCTCATACCTACAAGCACATCCCACACGTAGGCTATCTAACATTTTTTGAGGGGGTGAAAAAGGAGGGGATAAAAAGCAGTGACACATACTGAATTGAAGACACACAGTGAATTCAGAATAATGAGCTAGGAACAGAGATGGCAGTACAAGACACGTTTGATCTCTGCTTGTCTGATGAAATGAAGTCTGAAAGCTCCTCCGTAAAGCCCCCTCTCACTGACCCCAAGCAACCTTGATGGCTGCCTGCACTATTTCTCTTTTTTTTTCCTCCTTCATCTTTTCTATGGGAGACTGTACATCAAGTCAGACTTTGGAGCTTTGCAATGGATCATTGCCGAGAACCACATGCTTTTCTCATTAAGCTACCAGCCCAACAGCCATGCTGTAGAAGAAACAAATATGCCAGAAATAGGAAACAGGTGGTAGTGTATCTGTGACCATTCAAGCATGCTTTTTCTTCAGTTGAGTGTAAGGCAGAGCACAGCCAGTATCTGGAAGTACCAGGTCTTTTTTTTTCCTGCAGTGTATTACAGAGTAAGATTAATATGTTGCCTCATCTCAGTTCAGGGGTGCATTACTTTCCCATAAACCAGCATCATTTTTCCAGCTTAAAAACCAATGTGTTTTTTAAAAAAAGCTCCCCAGGAGGGTTATTACCTCACAGAGTCAGTATTAAAATATAATATGATAATGTTGGATCCAGATGCAGCAAACTTCGCTATACTGAATTTCCTCATATTGTAAATACTTCTATGAACTCCGGATATTTACCACTGGAATAAAAGCACTTGTTTCCTTGAACCAAATCTTACACAGACAATTTTCAAAGCGATGGCATTACTGTCACTAACTGGCCACTCTTGGTCTTCAGTCCTTACCCTCCAGTAGATAGGATTTCTCTAGGTTTGAGATGATGGGCATTGTTTTAAGATGTAGAAATGATAACTGTAGTTGGATAACACTGAAAGGTCACACACAGCAGCTGTGGATATAGCAGTTTTTGTACATCCATGTGACTTGCACTAAGTTCTAAAGAAAAATGCCGATAACATCAATCTCTGAAGCTATTCTTATCATAACCATGGATAGTTTGCAGGATGAAAAGATTTCTTTGTCACTTAATCTGTTCTCCAGTAACAAAATAAAACTCAAGCCCAGATCAGTGATGCTCTTCAAAGATCTGGGTCAGCCCCAGGGCTCTTTAAGCCAGGACACGGCCTTGAGAATCCGTCATTCACACTAACCAGAAGTCCAATTCAAACTGTCCAGTCTTTGGGGATTTCACCAAGTTCATTTCTCTGACAGAAATGAGAGCTGATCAACTCCAGTAGGAATTGGGAGAGAAGGAAAACACATCTATGTTTTCTGTATCTAGTCACCTGCTCTCTATCCAAACCTAGAATACTTTCCTTTCTTATGATAAGTAAATAAATAAATCCCCAAGAAATGCAAAAGGAAGTGCAAGTTCACTTAATTTACAGTAAACACCCAGATAGCTTGGCTTGAGATTAAGAATATATACTGCCTCCATTTTAAAAAGTTAACAGTACAGATTGGAAACCAGAATGCGATTCATGCACCTGCTTTTACAGAATATTTGACTCAATACTAAGTGCTGTCTTTCCTATATACTATCCTGGAGGTACAGTGGAAACATTCAACCACATAACAAATACAGAACCACCTAGCTTAAATAAACAGCCACACATTCTCTCTGGTTCCACTCACCTTTCTATATACAGCTATGAATCATAAGCCTCAAATTCTGGCTTTCAGCACTTCCATTTTCCCCTAATGTACTACTTCTTTGTTGTCATAGTCACTGCCTCTAACGATCTTGCTTTTCCACCAGGTGCATTGTATTCAAGAAAATTCACCATAGATGGGGAACAGATCTCCCTCCAGGTGCAGGATACTCCCTTTGTTTCACTGGAGGTAAAACATCTGCTCAGTGCATCAGTACTTTACAACACAGTTACTGTCTCCTGTTTGTTGCCAGCATGTTAATCTGTAAATAACTCAGCTTTCCAGAAGAAATACACCCGGGCTCAAACCCAAATGAACACTTACAGGTGTACCTTAAACCCCACCAAAATGAGCCCCTGCAGAGGTTAAATCAGGTTTTTTTAAGAGTAAGTCAGAATTAAAACAAATCTATGTCTTTCTGAGGGCATAGGTCTCACAGAAGTGGCTATTTCAGCAAGAGCGCTTTTCAGTGCTTTTCTTGCTTGTTTTTTAATTTTATTTATTTCTTATTTCTCAGCTGTCGGCATTCACGTACTTTCCTATTTCTATTGGTATTTGGGATATTCTAGATTTAGTGTTTGACTGGGAGCCAAACAGAATTTGGAATTAAGATGTCTCTTTCTGAAAGGAGCAGTTTTACTTGCAGAACAAGATAATGATGTCAGAAGAGCAGGAATGGAATGAAGTTTATTTTTATGTGAAAGGTGAAAATCTCAGGGGAGTAATAATTCCTATTTTAAAAAAGCTGAGATTTCATGGTAAAATTAGGCATCCTCTTGTTGCCACCAAATCCAGCCTTCTGAAAAGCCATTCCTGAAGTCTTCCAACTATTTTGGTGGGACTTGAGAGAACAAAGACCCTATGCCAGTTTGCACAGAGAAAGAGAACCTCTTTGCACTGCAAAGAGAACCTCGTGGTGGTGGTTCGGCACTACGGGGAATGCCCAACAAACTTAGCAAAGGGAGACGCCTCCCTGCCCCCTCCCTTGAAGAAAGGAGGGAGCAAAGCGATTTAACTCCTTCTTTCACACCGGATGCATGTTTATTTTCTGATTTCCCTGTTTTAATTAAAACTGCCTGAGAGTTTAGAGACTGTAACCAGAGCTCTACAAAATGCAGTAACTCCAACAGCTGAGGTTTCCTAGTCAGAAAGTATTTTAATTTAGTTAGGAAAGAGTTTCATTTTCTTTGTCCTATTCAAAGGTCTGCACTGCTTCAACAATTCCCACAGACATGCTTATCTTAGCCTGGATCTCTGCTGGCATCAAATAGTGTATCTGAAAGTGTTTTAAAGGACTGCTTCTGACCAGAACTTATTAAGAGTGAGAATAGGTTGGACTTGCTGGTAAGATCCTTAAGAAGGAGTGCTGTGTGCAGGCATTTCAGGAGGAAGTCACGTAGAATCCTCAGGACTGCAGCCACACTGGAAATGTTCATGTTTAAGAGAGAAACAGAAGCAAAGAGATAACCAGTTTTGTTAGGTGATTCATTGCTGCTTGGCCTACACATGGCAAATCACTGTGTGTTTCAAAATCCGTTCTGGAGCAGAGATTTCCATTTAAAAATGGCCCATTAGTCTTTGATTTTCCCCAATAAAGCATTCCAGTGGGGATTATCCATCCATCTCGCTACTGGGTGGGCCTAGCTGGAGTAACTGAGAGCTTCTGCTCATTAGGGTTCCCTTCAAATGTACACCTTCTCCAAAAGCATTTTCAAGCTTGCCAGAGCAATTAGTTCTTTTTCCCCATAAAAGGAGTTTGCTGGTGAAAAGAGGCAAGCAGGACGTGAAGGGTGGCTAATTATCTACAGATTGGACACAACCCAGACACCAACAGTGCAAATTGCCCTTCTTCCCACAGTCTGCCCCATCCTGGCTTGAATTTGCTCTCATTTGCCTTTGAAGCAGGGCTGCTATGAGGCTCCCTCTTCCTTCTCTATGCAGCTCTGGTTGGATTTGTTTTGTTTTGCTGTTTCTCAGATGAGGAGCACAGAGAGGAGGGTGATTAGAGCATCTGTTAAGCAATTTCACTGCTAGTAAAATACATTTAAGATTTAGCTTTGTATTACTGTAAGCTGGCAAGAGCAAAGAATTACTAAGTGTGATGAGCCAGTGACTGTACTGGCCACAGTGCAATATGAAAAGGGCAGTTAGTTCAAAGAACTGCTGCTGAAAGCTGCAAGCCTAATTTGTAATCTGAGCCTTCAGAAATTCTGCTTCCTCCTTCCCACAGAAGAGTCTTGACTGTAGTCCTTCTTCCAATTGCCTGTTATGCCATAAAGAATGAATCGGTTTTGCTCTTGCTTTTCCTCCTTTGCTTCCTGAACTTAGGCTTTATAATTCATGTTTAGATGTCTAAATAAAAGCAATACAGTTTGGGAGGTTGCTGAGTGCACACAAATCCTGTTGAAACCCATGGGAATGGCAGATATGTGCTGTGTAGACAGATATTTGAGCATACGTTCTAATACTTCAAATTTCCATGACTGATAACAAACAGTGACTACATTTTTACCACATGCATTTTTTATTCTTTCTTATGATAAACTAGGTTTTTGCCATAAGACCTCTAAACACTTTTCCAGGTGTTCTATGCCTTCGGAATGAACTCATACATGTACAACGTAACAATTTGTGAATGATATTGAAGTATCCGAAATGTTGCCTGTGTTAGTTTAGGAAGATAAGATCTGACATGTTATGCTGGATCTGTCCTCCCCAGCCAACCAGCTGAATTGTTTATTGTGCTAATTATGTTGATTTAAAATGCCTCCCCTAAGTCTGACTGAAGTTGATGATGTGTTGAATGGAATTTAGTAATAATAGTAACAAAAAAATTGGGCTCTATTTGTGATGTTGAACTCCCACTAAAGAAGGAAGGAGGAACCTCTTATTCCCTACAACTTCAACAAGGGCTGACTATGTTCAGTGCCTTGTTGGGTATGGAAGAAAATGCAAGGTTTCAGAAAGCCTGGATTATTGACAGGAATGTCCATTCTTATCAAACCAAGCATACTGGTAGTAACTGCAGCACTGATCTCCCTGTCTAGTTGGGAAATATGCCAGCAGGGACAACAAAGAAGAGAGGGTTAGCTGAAAATAGCCTCATCTTGAAAAGTAAGCTGATCTCTTTTCAAGCTCCATGGTATTGTGGTATTGTATTCTGTTTTATAGTCTCCACACTGGTGCCTATTATGGCTGTACGAGTAGGAGCTGTGTTGGGCAGAACAAACGTGTGACCAGCAATGCACTAATATAAGCCCACTGCAGCTGCACAGACGAGCAATGAGATTTCACCTCATTTTCAGTTCCAGTAATTGCTTATTTGCAATAAATTGCTTTTTCAAAGTAACTTTGCTTCTCACTATTGGAAGAAGTGTATGGCAATAAAACCTGTCAGGCTTCACTTAATGGAGTTAGTTATAACCCCTGTCCATGGAGACACAGAATACAGAATTGGAAAGAGCCATAAAACACAGCTTGGGGACCACCATTCACTTGCAGCAGTGTGAATAGCCTGCTGTGATTTTTTAATGCTTACCATTCTGATCACTATTTTACCCACGCCGAAAGGTCAGGTTACTGTCACTGTTGTAAGGATTCATCAGAAGAGAATATGAAATGAACTTGTTAGTATCAGCACTAGGTTGTTCTTTTATTTTCAACACGGTGGCTTTGATCCCTCTCAATTTTTCTGCTGCTTTAACATGCCACTGATACAGATGGAACTTTCTCCTGTCCCCAGTGCATGCCCAACAATCAGAGAGCTTTCTGCCTTGTGCTGAGCAACAGCCACACACTAAAACACCGCTCTGAGCAGCCAGCGCTGCTGTATGACTGCTCCATCTGCTCTCTATTCTCAGTTTTCTAATCTCATACCTCTTGGTTTTGACGGCAGGATGACACTGACAGCATCTGCTGCCAGGAGCAGATAAACCGCTCGATCTACTGGGCAGATGGCTTCGTTTTCGTTTACTCCATCACAGAATACAAGAGCTACCGCGTCATCCGGCCCCTGTACCAGCACATCCGCAAGATTCACCCCAATGCTAACATCCCCCTGCTTCTGATGGCAAACAAAGGAGACCTCTTGCGAGCCAGGCAGGTGTCCTCCAAAGAAGGACTCCAGCTGGCCAGCGAACTGGGAGGTACTTACTATGAAGTCTCAGCGCGGGAGAACTGCGAGGGCGTGCACGAAGCCTTCCAGCAGCTTTGTCAGGAGGTCAGCAGGATGATTGGCAGCTGCAATGGAGAGAAACGAAGAGGCCTCCATCTCGTCCGACCCAAGTCTCCAAATATGCAGGACTTAAAGAGACGTTTGAAACAGGCTCTGACTTCCAAAGGGAAATCTGCCACTACGCTTTGATGTAGCTGATAAAAGTTGTATTCCACACCCCTGGACAAAAGGCAAGCAAATAAACTGGCGTTTAAGGGAATCTCCAAAATGCAGCATTTGGGTCGTGTGAGAGGTCCCTTCATTCTGTCTATATATCTTCCTTAAAAATTCCATGTTTGTTCATCAGAGGAACTCACAGAATGTTCTCCTGGGGCAAGAATGTAGAAACTGACTTAAGGTATAGATTGTCCCAAATTATTTCTTTTCCAAAAGGAATGCAGTCAAATAGTTTAGGCTTAAAATGTAGATTTTATTAATAAAATACATAAATCTTACTGATTTATTTAGAGGAGTGGCTTCTCTTGGGGACAGCTGTGTTCTCGAGTGTGGGCAGTAAGCTAAAGCAAGGCACCAGGAGAGAGACATGAGCTATAGTGAGCAAGCAAAACCAAATTTGCTAACTCACAAGACTGGAAAATAAAGACAAAAAGTAAATAATAAGCATAAGCAGTGAAAAGTAATAATTTAACAAATATAATAATTCAAAAACTGCAGTTTAGAAGGTGCTCTTAGCAACATGGGGAGAGATTTGCAAGCTTCTATAGCCTCCCTTTATAAGATATTTTCAAAACTATAACAATTTATTTCAGATTATTTTTCTTTAAACACATACCATTTCTGAAAGAGATTCTGTGGGCACAGTACTTACTTAGCAGCATTTTGTAGGCAAATTCTCAGTGGTCTACTTGTCATTTTTGTGTAAGTTTCCTATATGGTAATGTGGAACAAATAGAGCAGCGTGGCTATAAAACCTGCAGAGAGCAAATGGGCTGTATTAACCAAGAGCAAGGATGGGATCTGAAACAATACAACCTTTTTTTTGAAACAAGTTAGACTTCATGCTCAAGATGATCTTTCAAAGAAACAAGGCCTTTACTCAAAGTATATTTGATTCATTAAAATTTTTTGAAATTATTTTTCAGCAGAAAGGGTTTTATGATGCCTGAAACACGTGGCTTCAGGAATTTATCATTTTGTTATTTGCCTTAAAACCAGGTTTTACTCGATCCCTTGCAATGCATCCAAATCACCAGTCAGTCAATAGAGATCTCACTGGCAGTTTCTCACTGCAGTTGTTCTCTGTGCGTGCCAAGGGGTTTGAAGCTGCATCCTGTGAGCTGGCCAATTTTATGGTCGCAATAACAACAGTATGAAGCACCCATCATTCTGTTCCTAATGGGAGTGGAAAGAAGCTGGGTTGGATCATGCAGAAGTCGTGGTACAGTGACCTTTTCTTTAAACACGCCACCCAAGCACTTCGCGGGATCATGGAATGGATTAAAACTTGGTGATTTACACTGAGGAACCCAGGTGGGGAAATCCTAGTTCCATGGATGTGGAAAAACACTCCCAGCTGCAGCAGTACTGAGCTAACTCAACATTTTACTCATGAACACAAAAATGCAAATTGAGTCTGATGAGTACCCATACAGCTCAGGGCTTGTAATTCTGTTTTATTTGCTCCACTGCTGGACAACTCTACTCATTATTTTCTTCATCACTTGGGTTTGCTTTACCTACAGCTCACCTTTTGTTTTGTTTATTGTTCTCCACGGCTGGCATTCTGAGATGTTCTGATTAATTTAAAGCTATTCTATACACACAAAGCAACTGTGCTTTTTTCTTTTTTTTAAATGAGTTTCAATTGGTAGTAGAGAGTGAAACAGAAAGTTGGATCAACCAAACAGGGACTCAAGCAATATTAAGGGATTTGTACTTTAGCTAATAGTTTATTAACAGCTTAACATTCTAGCTGGGCCATTGTCCTCTTGGCATTTTGGTACGGCATTTGTTAGCACGAGATTTCAGTCTTCCAAAGTACTAACAGCATAGTTCAAATAGCAAATCTTTAACATGAAAATGAGCAAAGAGATTGTGAGAGACAAGCGAGCTGAACGTTGTTTGCATCAGAACAGTGATTGCCAGTTTTGAAAAGCAACCACATATTTTACCATTCCGGTACCATATAGTTAGGGCTAAATTTACTGAAGACAGCTTGCTGAAATTTGTTTTCATAAAAGCCTTAGGGAATTAGGTCCTCTATCTTATTAAATTTGCCTGTAACTTGCTCTTTCAGTTCTAATTCTTTATTTGGGAAGAAAGTTCAACACGTTTCAAAACTGTCAATGTTTTCTTTTCAGTAGCAACTAATAAAATCAGACAAGGCCTTTCCTGAGTAGTATATAAAATGTACATCTCATATCTTTAAATGTTCTTTGTTTGTATTAGGCTAAAAATATTTTTTTCCTAATACCCTGCTTTGGAAGTACATGCAAGCACTCCTATGTTTGCACTCCTACATATGTATTCCCACATTCCCGTGGCTCTGGTGGGGGGAAAAAACATCCATGTTTTAGCTAAGGCCAACAAATATTGAAATATTTAAGTCTTCTCCTAAATACTAACATGTGGCTAGCATTTATTCTGCCACAGAAACTTGAGTATAGCATTTCCTTCGTTCATTAATCAGCAATACAAACCTGGTAGTAGCTTTGATACTGGTTTTAAGCAAGTACTTACCATCTACAGGGGATGATTGAACTCAGCAATTTTATTCACAGCACAGTACTGAAACATCAGAGCACAATGCTGTGCCACTGATGCTCAGCAAGACTGAGGAAGGAGAGCAGTAGCATGAAAAGCATAGAGAAGAGAACAATACAGAATTCAGTGCCTAAAAATGACCAGGTAAAATATCAAAGATTAGCCACGTAGAACCCTATCCTGAGTCTCTTTGGGCTGCCAAAGGGAAATATACATTCTATTGGAGCTTTGAAATGTAACTTCTAGAGAGAAGGTACTTGATGTAAAGTCAAGGGAGAATGTGAGAAAGCAATTTGAGGGGAGGTGGTGGGATTTGTGGTTTTGGCTGGGAGCAGGGGGTGGGATTTTGAGAGATTCTGGTTATCAAGAAAATTCTCAGTTATTCTGCTTAAATCCAAATCAAATCTGTTGGAAGCAATGTACTACAGAATTAACTTTTTTTTCCCCCTCCCCATATCCCTCTTCATTTTCCTGAATGATTGAAACCTTGTGCACCATCTGGTTTCCAAGACGCCTTGCAGCTGGCCTCACTTGGGCACAAAGCAGTTGAGTGATCTGCCCCAAGGTTACACAGCTGCGCCAAAGCGCTTCTGCCCAGCTCAAAACCAGTGTCCTTTGTAACATCCATTCCCAACACTTCCCAACAGCTACCAGGCTGTACTGCCTCCCTCAGGGATGCACAAAGCACTGTGAGTAGTGCTACATGAGACTGTAACTAAAAGTTGGAAAAAGTCACTTGAATGACAGACTGTGCTAAGAACACACTGAGTGAAGCATTTCTGACATCCTGAGCATTGTAGTAGCGGTGAGACTGGCCTGTGGGTCACTGAAGATATTAGTAAATGATGATTTAAAAGATAACTTAAAAGGAAAGCCAGCCCCCTTCTGACTTGCTTAGTCAGGATATTTACAGATCAGTTGTCTGCATTTTCAGTAGAGATAGCTTAAATCTTAACATCTGAATTCAGATTCCTCAGGTTGTTGTGATCCCAGTTTGACGTTTGAAAAGGAGGAAAATGGAAAATTCAGACCTCAATTTCAAGAAACACCTCAGACAGAAGTGTTGGTACCGTGGGTGCCCACTTCGCACAGGCTTTGTGTCAGGTATCCAGCTGAAGGAGCACCTTCCTGTGGCACGGAAAGAAACGCTGTATGAGAGAACCATTGGTTTCAAATGGCAAACTGGAAGACTGCCAGGTGGGGTTTCCCTGTGCCAAGCTGGAAGGCTTTGGGTCAAATCACTCTGAAGTCTGCAGAGGCAGCGTGTGACCCTGAGGTGACAGAACATGATGACATATTTGCTGGTCTCTAGTTGTTCATGTAATTTCCAAGACCTCTTACGAGCTGATGTTGTCTCTTCTGGGACTAGCACAGGAAGGGCATGCAATAAAGTTAAAAAGATCTCTAGAGTCATTCTAAAAGCCTCAAAAGCAGAGACAATGGTCCTAGAAAATGCTGTCCCATCGATCACCTCTGAAGACAAAGCAGGACTCCTCCTTGGATACTTTCTCACCCCCCTCTGCTGGTTCTCCCTTCCTTGTTCCTCTCCATTTGTGCCTCTGTGTTGGTTTAGTTTGGCAAGGAATACCTCTGCAATCACTCTTCCTTAGGCTTAAAAGAATAATTTTGGTGTTTAGTGTATGATATATTTCCAAATATTTTAACTGCAGACATGGTTTATATCAAAGCAAGAGTGCCTGCTTAGCCTTTTGAACTTCTTTACCTAAATCATTTTAAATCACACTTAAATCAAGTCAGAAGAACTCTGCATTTAGACAAATCTTTGAATTCATGCCATTTCTCCCCAGATGCTCTCACTGACTTCGCCCAGTATCTTCCTCCTCTGTAAGCTCATTTATGTTGCTTAGTCACTGCTTACTTAAACCTGTTTAATTCATGTAAAGTTTTGCTGTTCTTCTCTGAAATCTCTCCAGTTTAATCAAGCAAGTTCTGTTCTCTAGGCAGCTGTGCGAGCTGCAGATGAGCTCAGAACAGCTGGTGACTTTCTGCTCCATCAGATTTTTGCCCACTACTGAAGATTTTGGAATAAGCAGGAGCATGGATGGAGATTCATCAAACCAACTTCAAGTCTCCTTTCGCTTGTCAGCCTCCTTTGGTGGCAATAATTCTATCCATCACAAGATGGACCAGGTTTATCCTAAATGGCATTGTTTCAGTTTGATTCCTACAGAGGGAAAGATGCTGAATATGAAGCAAATGGATGAGTTGATAGGCTCTGTAAACCCCGAGATCCGATTCATTCAGGAGCTGTCACACCAATCCTCTTTTCCTTAGAAGATACATTTCTTAGATTTTCCATTTTATCCAAATGGGTTTCAAGACACAGCCTCTGGATCTCATCACACAGACACTTACTGTCTCCTCTGTAGCAGGTCAAGGGGAAGCTGCACATTTTCTAAATGCAGAGGGTGAAAGAATGTATGTCTTGTGCTGTTATTATGGATGATTGTGGAGACTGTTCCTAAGGACACTGTTTTTCTTCTTCTTTCCAGGCAAAAACACAGAATGCTAGCAGAAGTAACTGGTCATTCTGAAAAGCTGTTAGCTGTGTTTGCTGAACTGGGAGACAAACTACTTCCTCTGCTGGTTAAAAAACCCACCAGATAAGTGTGGGGGTTGGGATTTTAAAGATGCAGCCTCTGAACTCTTGCAGAGAGTTGAATTATGTCACTTCTTGATGGAGATCCAGGTTTCCACTTGCTTGCAGGAGCCTTCACTTTTCACACTGTGTTCTGCACTGTATTTCACTTCAAAACTCAGTATTTTCCTGATGATAAAAATGAGAAATGTCTTTGGAGTATCATTCTGAAGTGCAACAGCCCATTATCTTAACTCCCTATTTTTGATGAAGACCGAGGATGTCTGAGCTGCTTTTAGCTCCAGTTGTTGGAGACTGGAGCTCATACTCCATAGGCAAATGTGTTTATCATTGCAGATGAGCAAGACTCATCGTTATTTAATAGTAGAACAAGGTATACTGTCACACAGTTCAGACATTCTGTGATTGTCAGTAAAGAGCAGTGGGATGTGGAAATGAGAGGGAGGCATAAAATCTCTAAACTACGCTCCTGAGATTTCCTGTTAGAGAGAAACAAACTTTCCCTTAAGCACTGAGAGAGGTAACGAGCTGGTGGTAATGCTGAATATAAAGAAAGCAGCTACAGCAATTCTGGCTAAACAACCCAAGCTCCATTCCCTTGGGTTGGAAAACAAGGAGGGTGTCAACTTTAGTGAGAACCTCCTAAGTTTAGTAAAAGGGTTCGCTGAGAAACCGCTGGTTCTGTGAGAAGGAACCAAAATGTTTCAGTGAACTACACATCTTGAGGTACTCAGCTGAAAAAGAGAACCAGAACCCAGGCCTTGGAGAGCCATCAGCATTTCCCATCCACATCAATTCAGAGCAGTGGTGAAAAGCCCACGTCTTCATCACATTCCAGCCCCCACGATTACGTAAGGCCCATGCCAAAGTCACTTTTGAAGGACTACTGCAGTAATGCTGGTCTCAGTGTAGGTCAGGGACAGCTCCAACAGTGAATGGAGGGTTTAAGCTGCCATTCTTCTCCCTCTTTAACCACAAAGACTGCCTATGTAGCCGAGCCCAAGAGCTAAGACCAAACTCCATATATCTGATCAGTGTTCATCAGTCTGTGCTGGAGCTCAGTAACTGGCTCTCAGAAGAACCATCATCTGCCAAAGGAGCAGCTTTTAAAACCCAGAATACATATTTGTGTCAGAACTGTGAAGTGATACATTCTATATGCAAGCACTTCTGAAAACACAGTACTTATTGGGCTGCTTTGAAGAAAGCAAGAAGTTTTGTTTCTAAATCCTGAGTTTTAATCATTAAGATTATTCATTTTTATGTATTTTCATACACTTAATTTTAGCCATTTGCACTTGTGAACCTTGCACTAGGGAACGAGCCAAAGGACACGGAGCCAATGGTTTCTCCCTTATACATTTGACAGTGCACATCTTCCCCTGCTGTGACTGTGTCTCAATGCTGGAAGAACTGAGAACTACAGATATGGCTGAAGAAGGCACTATGCAAAGCCCAGGCACCCCACAGCCCTAATTCCACAGCAGCTGGTGAGAGCCACTGGCCAGGCAGGCACACATCCAAAAAGCAGCAGTGTTCAGCACCTACCGGGCATAACTGGCAATGAGCTTCAAATCAGGATGAGAGCAGTGGGCTGTTGAAGGGTTAAACATTTCCTGCCTTTAATCTGGAATCACGTAATGTGGAATGAATGTTTCAGCTCAGAATGTTTCCTCGCTCTGGCAGTGTCATGGTGGGAGGTCAAAGTGTGGGGGAGACAGAAAGAAAAAAGGGGGTGCATGGTGTGGGGAGCCAAGGAAGCACACACACCCAGCAATGAGCAGGATGGGTTCTCCAGCAGCATTAGCCCAGCTGGACGGGCTTTGGTGCAGCCATGGGCTCAGTGTGGGACGTTAGGGACTTCCTGCTCCAGCTGCCTCTGCTTCTCCCATGTATGCGTGCTTCTGCTCTGGGCACAGTTCCCACGCTACATTGCAAAATACGCCTTGAGTTTCTCACAGTATCTCTGCCCAGACACAAACTGCAGCTTCGGCCTTTCCTGCGCCCGGAGGTGGCTCTCCTCTGGGGCAATGCCTGCTGTAGTTATGTTTCCTGCCGATGGAGGTCTTTTCCTGTGCAACCAGAACTGGTCTGTACACCAATGGGCTTTATCCAGGGCAGGAAATTTCAATTTAAAAACTTGCCAAATTTCAAACTACCCTGAACAGCCCATTCTCAGATGGCGTATTACAACAGAGCAGCACCAGCCTTGTGCATCTCACCTGCACACCTTCCTACGAGCACAAGGCAGTCAGTAGCTCGTGACTGTCACTCCTTCTGTCAAAAACCATTCCTACAGATCAGTGTATCTCACATTCAGCTGTTTTCCCTGCAGTTTCCACCTCCTTTATTGCAGGCAAGACAGTTTCCACGTGGTGAATTATTACTTATTTAATTTCTTACCAATTAGCTTTAACAGCTTATCACTGATTCAGGACCTGTGGAAAGAAAGAAACACACACACACACACAAAAAGAGAAAAGAAAAGAAAACACAAACAATTACACAAACACTTAAGCAACCACCTTTCTGCCCTCTTCCCTTTAAGCCAAACACAGCAGTCATGACCTCCCTGCTCTCACCCTTCACCCAGCCACCTCTCACTGGGTTACCTCCAGCCTGTCCCATTTCTTGCTTCTCTTACATCTGAGTGAGACCACCACATGTGGGGTGGTGCTGTGGGGACGTTGCATGGGTTTCGGAGCTGCTGTGACACATCACAGCCATCTCCTGCCTGGTCCCCCCTGCAGCTCCTGGCTTCCGGACTTGCCTCACACAGCTGCAGCAAACCCTACAGGTTACACCCAGCACCACCCTTCTGCACAACAAAAATGGGAGCTGCCCCCCGGGCAAACAATGGCTGAAGCACAAAGAGACTCAGGAGGTCTGCCTGCTTCTGAGAATATTCAGTTGTCCATCTTCCCACCAAACGATAGCAAATGTCTGAAGGGAATCATCTGACAAGTCCTCTTGCTCAACACTGCTCACCCCTAAGCTGCAAGAGAAAAACAAACTCCTTTCATGGCAGGAAATCCTCAGGCCAGTTTGTCAGCAGGATTTAGAAACATTTCAATAACAGAACTACTGACATTAGATGTTGACTGAATGATACAGCCAGAGAAGTGGTGAGCGTGCATTTCTGATGGGTACCAGTCAGGTGGTAGAGGTGCCCACCCTACTGCTGTTGGGCACATGTGGGTTGTACTGCTTTCGGGATGAAGATTTAAGCTCCTCCAATGATTTCAGCTCAACCATTAGGTCTTCTGAAGTGTTCTACATTAAAACAATTTATTATGATCTAGGAAAAGGTCCAAATGAAGCCCACAGCCCTGAACATTTTATTTCTAAAATGAGCCACCTGAAAATTCCCTACATCAGCCTCATCACTTTCCAGCATCCAATTCCGTCTTCAAACTGAACTCATAGATCCAAATGTAAGACTTGTTTTATAAACCCAGTATTTACTTTGGGGTCTCCTTGGTGAGATGCTGCGTGTTCCTCCAGCCCCACACCCCACGCTCCCTGTCTCCTGGGCAGTTTTCCTGTTCATGCAAGATGTGCTGCAACCTAAGGGACCAAGAACACTGCTGAGCGTTGTTCAGCTTGTCCCACCCTTATGCACTGGTTCCTATGCAATTAAAACAGTATTTCTTTCCTTTGTAGGGTGTTTTGAGATCTATTGATTAAAACTCCTGTGCGTAAGCAAGGTGTCATGCTGTTCAAAATATTATCTTGTGTGGAGAAGAGCTGTTATTAGAGTTCGTTATTAACAGAGCAGGAAGTGGGGATTAAACTTTGTTCTCTAATCACAAACAAACCTAGAAGACCTCTGCAGCTTCTGGGTAAGCCTAGGAATGAACAGCTGCTCCTAAGGAAAGAGAACCCCAGAAGGAGAAACCCAGATTGATGTCTCACAGGGAGCTGAATGAGAACAAGGTCAGGTTTGGCAGCGTGCCTCCTCTTCACCTTGTGAATACTCTCCAAGGGGTCGGGCTGGAACGCAACTGTTTTGACACAGGGTTTCCTGTTGCAAATGCTCTATGCAGGCTCCACATCAAGCAGCTGGGATTTTTTTTTACGTGCCTCAGCCACATTTTCAAGTGGTGTAAATTGTCATAGCACCATGGAGCCCTGCAGAACAACAGAAATCAGGCTGTTGGTTTTTATGAGCTGAGGATCCAATCCAGCCTAAAAATCACCCACGGCAAAAAGTGTTTTCAAGGCTAAAAAGGCAGTTTCACATCTGCAGCCAAAGCCCAGGTTACGACTGCAACCACAGGGAGAGTTTGCAGAGGTAGTCTTTGTGCCTACTGGTTTTCTCCATTAAGTCCCATGGAAGAAGTTTTGAGAGTTGGGCAAACACTGAAATAAAAGCTCTGAATGTTCAGGGTCCCTTTGATTTGCTTTAAACTCCTTGGGCATATTTTGTATTCCATTTCCTGGAATAGCTTGGTGAGATTTTTCCTCACACAACAGCTCCTGGTGACAGGGATTGATGTTGCTGGGGTATCAATTACCCTGCTGGGCAGCATCAGACTTCTATGGCACACGTGGCAGTCTGGTGGGGTAGAAGACTCCTTGCATAATACAATACAATATCACAGCAACAAATAGATTACGTGAGCCTTGAGCCAGCAGTGTGTTCTCACAGCCCAGAAAGCCAACTGTATCCTGGGCTACATCACCAGAAGCGTGGCCAGCAGGGTGAGGGAGAGGATCCTGCCCCTCTGCTCTGCACTGTGAGATTTAGACTGGAAGACATTTTTTACAATAGGAAGGAAGACATTTTTTACAATAAAGGTGGTGAGGCAGTGGTACAGGTTGCCCGGAGAGGTGGTGGTACCCTATCCCTGGAGACCATCAAGGTCAGGCTGGACGGGGCTCTGAGCACCTGATGGAGCTGGAGGTGTCCCTGCTTATTGAAGGGGGGTTGGACCAGATGGCCTTAAAAGTCCCTTTCAACTCAAATGATTCTATGATTCGATGTTTCTATGTACAGATCTACCATTACCTTCTAGCACAGTCGAGAAGCCAGCGTGGTACACCCAGACAGTGAGCAACTGCCTTCACAACCACACCAGGCCCAGACCTGAAAGCAGCATAGCTGTTAACACAAAGTTACATTCCAACTAACAATCCCTTCTTAGCTGCAAAAATGTTGCCCTGTGCTAGCACAGCCCTGTTGCTTCCAGTTCTGGGGCTGGCTTGGTTGGCATTAACTGAGGATGCGCTGCCCCACTCTATTGTGTGATACGGACATGCCTTCAGAGTTCAGCAGCTGGGTATTTGTTCTGGAAATGCTTGTGTGCTCACCCACTCGGTGCAGAAACAATGTGATGTGCTTTTTTTTTTCTAAGTGGTAATAATTAACAAAGCACAACCCGTATAATCACACACCACTGCTCAACATCACTGGAGAAGCACGCAGCAAAAGAATTACCTCCCCACTGCTTCTGAATAGCACCAAAAAGAAGTAAATAATCTTACCACAAGTATTCAGTGAGCGAAAAGAAAGCCTAAGTTCATCAGTAATGTCATCTCCCTGCCTTGAACGTTCAAATGCCTTATGGGATGAACAGCCTTTACAGCTGCTGGGCACTCGGTGTGCTGTGGGCTGGGATGTGGCAGACACGGCCTTCCATAAACATCCCAGCTCAGCAGAGCCCGCTCAGCCCATGGGACATCCCGCTGGGAATCCAGGTCTAGGAGAGAGCGAGCGTATAAAAATAAACAGGACTCTCATCCACTTATTAACAGGGCATGAAAGCAATTAAGGAGATACTGAGGAAACCAGTCATGGAAAATGTAGGTCACGGTATTTAAATTCAGCTTCATGGTTACATTCCTTCTTCAGAACATTTCCAACTCCATGTTGTTTCTAATGATGATGGCAGGGATATATGCACCAAGATCCTTCTTCTCACTAACAGTTTACCCTCCAACGTTCTGCTGAGTCCAGATGCACCAATGAATACTTCATCACTATCTATACAGTAGGGAACAGGAAATAACGTGAGCTAAAAGGAGATGCTTTGGCCTATGTCCATGATGTGAGTTTTATGAAGCATAAAGATTAAAACACAGAGAAACATAAAATTTGTACCAACGTATCAAAACAACCACATGTCTGAAGCAAACGTGGAGCAAAAAAGGAGACTTGACACTGCAACACCATGCCTTTAACATGAGCATTTCTGCGTGCATGTTTGCAACAGATCAGCTCGTAGCATGTTTTGCCCTGTTGCATGCTTTGCCTTAGATTCTAGTTTCTTGCATTAATCTCAGTGCTAAGAGAAAAATGAAAAAGTCCCCTGGACATTGCCTCATGCTATGCCTGTGCTTCCCAGATAACTGATGGTTCACTGGCCCACAGAACTACTTCATCACATTTTGACCTGAAAATCCTTGGCAGGTGCATGACAACCTGCAACCAGTTTTTTATAGCTGACAGCAGTCTAGAGTCCCAAAGGTTCAGGAATTATCTAGGCTGGATGAGCTTTTAAAGGAAGCATAACAAGTTATCTCACTTACACCTGTTGGTATATTATGTCACCTATTGTTACTCTCAGTTGTATATTTTTGGCTTATTTCTTTTGCATCTTCTCTATGGACTCAACACATACTCAATGGAGGCAACCACAGTCAGCTGGGTTTTATACGGCACCTTGTACAATTTTTGAGTGACAGAAAGGCTGTGTGTGGAGAGTTATGCTTTAGACCAGAGTGTAGGGCCACAGTTTTCCACTACTGAGGTGCCAAACTACGCACGTGAGCTGCCACCACTCAGGCATCCAGATACACATTTGGGAATTCAATGAAGGAGGATGGCTGCTCACCAGTTGTCCGTGGACATATATATAATTGATCAAGGTTATATGGACACCAGCATAGAATCTGGAGAAGTTCTAGCTGGGGAACTAGGAGCAGAAAACAATGCGTGGTATCAGGATTTCACTGTAGAGAAGACTATTTAAAATAGAAATAATAACAGAATGGACTGAAAAGCATTGCACCGACCTGTCCAAATACTCAGATTTCTGAAGAATCAGACATGAAACGAATGTTGTTAAATCTTTTCATGGCTGACACTGGCACAAACCATCAGTAAGTTTTACTTGCTGGTGATGTGCAACTGGCAGGCACTATCAATGCACAGGAGGATCAAGGTGCCCTACAAGAAGAATGGTGTTCCTCTGGGGAACTGAAATACAGTCAGTCATAGGATGCAGAGCAGCACCTAGGGACTGAGAACAAGAATTTCTCCTCCCACCAGTCAGAAGCAACAAAGAAAGACGTTACTGTAGTGAGTATGAATATCAGTGTGTTGCAGCTCTGAAACAAGAAGTGTGACCTGAGGATGCTAGATAAAATAATTACTGCAAAGGCAGAGAGCATGAGTGTTGCTGTACATGGCTGCCCAAGAACTTTCCCTGAGCACTGCTCACAGCTCTGATGGCTCCTATGTCTGATAGAACAGGTGCAGGCAGAAGGATTACTGAGCACAACAAGGTCTGTTGTATGAGAGCAGACTGAAGCCATGCTTTATTTTTATATCCCAGACCTCCAGAAATCCCAGAGCAGACTCTGTGTGTATTTTTATGTCCAGATGGCATTGCATATTGCATACAGACCTATTGGCTCAGATGTGGTTGGATATTGGTGGACGGTTGCAGACAGAGCTCCTGTGCCCCCTGGAGCCTTCCTCATCTTGTTTGTGCACTTCTCTCCATTGTGCTGACACAAACATTTCTGTGGTCACCTGGGAACAGAGTCAGAAAATTGATCCACCCTAACAATGACAAAAAGGTTCCTTTTCAAGATCACAACTCTAGCCAGACAAATGCCTCTGGACTTCTTTGAAATTTGAGATTTACTGAACCTACGGTAACTGGAGAATCTTAGGAAAATTGCATTTTCATTGTACAGATGACTTTCATAAAGGTTCTTACTCGGGCATGCAGAAAGCACCCCAAAAATGGACACAAATACTAGCTATACACCCATCAGAGTGATAAAGAAAAATTCCTCAGCTGAAGAACAGTGTTTAGCAGGAGTCAATGCAGAAAGTGACCAAGAATTAGCAGCTGCAGCCCAGAATTAGCAGCTGATTTCTAACCACTGAAGCAGGGAAGTTCTGGAAGAGCCTTTGAGTGAGGGACAAGAACCTGAACTAGATTTAAGACGAGGTTTGACCCAGAGGAACTGTACAGGACAGTCCTGCAGTAGTTGGGAATTACCTTGTGCCTGAGGAGGTCCCTTCCATTGAGGTGGAACATCCAGAGCCACATGCCAGGCAACCTCCCTTGGTCACGGAATATGGTAAAATGTGTGCATTCTATATTCTACACACAAAATTAAAACCTTGGCCATTCCTCTTCATATTTTTGCAATAGAATACAAATACCACTACTACAGTTTATCAGCACTTTTCACTACAATACCACAAGACAGACCAACAATTCATGGTGCAAGACAGGAGAGAACAAAGCTTTGTAGTCAGCTGTGACAACAGCTTGAGAGATTTTCTTTTATCTCTGAAGGACTAAGTCCTAAAGTAAGTGCAAAAAGGGCATATCCTAATCTTTCATGTTGAAGATGTGAACTGAAGACCCCAATGTGGTATGAAGACCCCATACCATTCTTCAGTTATATTGAACTCCTCCATCCAGAGCAGATTGATTCCAATACACAGAAGAGGGGAGCTGGCTATAAAGGTTTGAAAGAAATGGTTGTATAATAAGAGTGATTGATGCAAAAAAGAAAACGTTTCAACTCAAAATGATAAATGAGGAGCAAAATGTGGTTTTCTTTTGCACCATCCTACAGCTGTAATGTAACGTTGGGATGACACAGGGGTTGCCTTCAGTGCATGCCTGAACAAGAAACGTGGACATGGCCACAAGTGCATGTCACCAGAGAACTCCCACTGTCCACAAACCTGCAATGACACCTACTGGTAACCGGTCAAAGATTCATGCCTGCAGACAGCATGCGCTTGCTTGCTACCAAACACACGAGTGATTTTCTTTTACATCCTGGCTCTCCATCATCAAGATTCTCTGCAGTGTTTTTGTACAGCTGAGTGCAGAAACCAGGGCTCTGCCTTGCCTGGCTTATTTGCAAACCACTCACCATTTCACTCTTCTGTTCGGAGCTGAGCAATCCACTCTGGAGTACCTTGTGTAGGGAACCTGGGACCCTATGACTTTTCATGCCTTAGGCTAAGCCAGCCAGAAATGTACAGTATGGAACATTCTTGGACCACTCCCAGATTTCCACATTAACATTTCTGTCATCCTACAAGATGGGAGTTGCCTTATTCTGCAGTCCCTGGCACCCAACAGCTAGCTGCTCTCTGAAAGCCTGAGAAAGTGACCT